AGATAACAGAGAGAAAATCTGAGCTAGCAAAACTCGAAGCAATTGATTGTGGAAAACCACTGGATGAAGCAGCATGGGACGTGGTATGCTTGTGATTCTCTGACAATTTGAATTGTTATTTATCACGCATAAGGCCTTATGTGCTGGCTCATGCAATGTAGGATGATGTTGCTGGGTGCTTTGAGTACTATGCAGACCTCGCTGAAGGTTTAGATGCACAGCAAAAGGCCTCTATTTCTCTTCCTATGGAGCAATTTAAAAGTCATGTTCTTAAGGAGCCCATCGGGGTTGTTGGGTTAATTACACCATGGTATTTGCTGCTTCTTTATGTTAAACGAATATTCTTTTAATCTTAGTAAGATTTGCTTGCACCTTTTTGTAAAGTAAATAATCATAAATTTTGGATTTGAATGGTTCTAGCAGGTTTGTGATTTATCTTGTAAATAGCTATTCAGTGTTTCTAAGAATCATCTTAATGATTTATATGGTGATTAAGTGCTTATGTGTTATGTTCAGGAACTACCCTCTGTTAATGGCTACATGGAAAGTAGCTCCTGCCTTAGCTGCTGGGTGTGCTGCAATATTGAAGCCGTCTGAGTTGGCCTCTGTGTAAGTCCTCTTTGGTTTATATGTACTTTCTTCAGTTAATATGTTGATTTTTCACGTTGTATGCCTATCATCATGTTATCAATCAATTCCAGAACTTGTTTGGAGCTAGCTGATGTGTGTAGAGAGGTCGGTCTTCCTCCCGGTGTCCTCAATATTCTGACTGGACTGGGCCATGAAGCTGGCGCTCCTTTGGCATCTCATCCCCATGTTGACAAGGTTCATTTTTTTCCGTACCAGTTTTATTGTTGGAAATTCTACGAAGTCATCTTGTTATTATCCTACAAATTTGTTAGTTGGGTCTTGTGACATCTTTGGGTTGTTTTAGCCGTGGGGCTGTAATAGGAATAAACTTATATTTAACAGATTGCATTTACTGGAAGTACTATTACTGGGAGCAAGATTATGACCGCTGCAGCTCAACTGGTGAAGGTAAGTTAAAGGCTTTGTAATCTGATAAGTGGTAAATTATATTTGGGATATTCTCTCTCTTCATTTGATCTTCATGTACTTTCTCTGATGTGGTTTGGCAGCCTGTTTCACTGGAGCTTGGTGGGAAAAGCCCGATTGTTGTTTTTGACGATGTTGATATTGACAAGGGTCAGTGATTCTTGAAGCTTAATTTTAAAACTCTCTACATATATATCGTAGATAAATAAATCACTTCCATTAGGAACTAGGAACCTATGAATCTAAACTAAATCAAATTAGAAAAACATAAGCGTATAATACTGCTGATGTAATGATAATTTTTTACTCTATGATTCAAACAGCTGCTGAATGGACTGCCTTTGGTGTCTTTTGGACAAATGGTCAGATCTGCAGTGCAACATCTCGTCTTATAATACATGTAAGTATGATAGCAAGATGTTACATCACTTTCTGTCAGTTCCTTCTCAGTTGCATTGCATGGATGACGGTGCATCCTTAAATGTAAATTCAAACAATTTTAGATCATGGGGTTCATGCATGGTATTTTTTGGTGCTACAACATCAGTTGTGCCACTTTCCCACTTGTAGTTGAAATGCGGTTTCCCTAAAGCTTATACATAGTGCCATCTTAGACAAGCTTTACATTATTAATTCCTTAAACCTTGTTTCAGGAAAACATTGCAGCAGAGTTTTTGGACAGGCTTGTGAAATGGATTAAAAACATCAAGATTTCAGATCCTCTTGAAGAAGGTTGTAGGCTTGGCCCTGTTGTTAGTGGAGGGCAGGTGAGTGTACTGTTTACAATATCTTTTAAAAAAAAAATATATATATATTATTTAATTCTCTATTTTGGATTGGGATAGGGGTGTTCAAGTAACATCAACACAGATTACACAATTGGGAAGCACTAAAATTCATACTTTTTTCGTCATCTTTTCTTTTTCTCTTTTTAAGTCTATAAATGTAAGAATTGGACTTAGGATACTTAGGTTGTCACTCTTGTAAAACAGGGGTTGTCTCAGTGAGTTGAGCTGTTTATCCTTCCAATCTTGTGAACATGTCTAGATCGTTTTATGTACATCGATAATACTTAGGTTGTCACTCTTGTAAAGCAGCGGTTGACTCAGTGAGTTGAGCTGTTTATCCTTCCAATCTTGTGAACATGTCTAGATAGTTTTATGTACATTGATAATATATTATTTTTGGTCTTGGCTTGGGTGTGGGTAGGGCACTAAAGTTCAAATCTTGAACCATTTTTTAATTATCTGGAAAAAAAAAATCTTATCCAAAATTGCCATATTTATGCTGAACAGAGCTGTTTTTGTTGCAGAACAGTTTGTTGAAAAGTTTTCTTTTTTGGGTCAAACTTTTTGAATTTCCAAATTATGAGGCTGATAAATTGTGTTGATGTTTGTTATAAAGGTTAAGAGTCCCTACATTTGATATGCATTAGTGTATATAATGTCTCAAATTGTGGGTGATAATTGTAATGCATTCGTGTTTGTCTAGGAGACAAAAACATGAACAATTACACATTTAATAGCATTAACCAATTCAAATAATTTATATTTCATTTTCAAGTTTATGATTGAAGTTTTACCTAATCTTCACTGCATCTGCTTCAGTATGAGAAAATATTGAAGTTCATATCAACAGCCAAGAGTGAAGGTGCAACAGTTTTGAGTGGTGGGGCTCGTCCTGAGGTATAAATTTTATGTTTTATCAAGACCATTCTGCTTCTTTATCTATCACAACATGTGAATTATTTTATTAATAAATGGCAGCATCTAAAGAAAGGATTCTTCATCGAACCAACAATCATAACTGATGTAACAACCTCCATGCAAATTTGGACAGAAGAAGTTTTCGGACCTGTTCTTTGTGTCAAAACATTTAGTTCAGAAGATGAAGCTCTTGAACTAGCAAATGACACACAGTAAGTTGACTCTTATTTTATCCCAGTTAATAATGGCATATTTGCTCGGCTGGTTTCTTTTTCGCTTTTTGCTGAAGGTTATTGAACTTTGACAGGTATGGCTTAGGCGCTGCTGTCATATCAAAAGATTTAGAAAGGTGTGAGCGCGTTTCTAAGGTGAGATCTCCTTGTACTTTTTTTGTCCACAAATAATCCTGCCCCAACATCATAGAAACATAATTTGATTATGAGTTGTGTCTCCTTGTTGCTGTTCTGCAGGCCCTTCAGGCAGGAATTGTATGGATCAATTGCTCTCAACCATGCTTCTGTCAGGCTCCATGGGGAGGCAACAAACGAAGTGGTTTTGGGCGTGAATTAGGGAAATGGTATGGCTTTCTCGGCATTGTGTTATAATGTTCTGTTTGATGTTGCTTATCCGAGTTAAATATAAAAGATTGATAAACATCACGAGACAAAGTAGACTAAGCAGACTACCTCCTCTTATTAACATCAATGAACTGCTGATGGTGATATAGTTTATTTTGTCTTTTGAACAGGGGACTTGATAATTACTTGAGCGTGAAACAGGTTACTCAATATGTGTCTGATGAACCTTGGGGTTGGTACAAGTCGCCTTCAAAGCTGTGAAAGTTTACCCACCAATAGGGTCGTGAAAATGTACTGATATACATGAAATAAGAAGGGATAATTAACTGGATGTTAATGTATCCCCTTTACCTTTAGGCTGGACTTACGGTTAATCATAAAGCTTTTTGCTGCAGACTCGCATATTTTGAATTCAGAGGCACTTTGTTAGCGAATATAATATGTCAATGATGAAGAAAGCTGTTGTGATTGATTGAAACTGGAGTGTATGCAAGTGGGCAGGGTCCAAGTATTTTATTAAGAGGGGGACCATTGTTTAAATTCTTTTCAAAATTTTCTAAAATAATACGAATTAAGGTCACTAGTTAGTAGTACTTTGTAATACATGGAACACTTAGCCAAAGTATTGGAGAACTTCCATACAACTGGATGTCATTGTGGTGGTGTCACCGTTATCCCGTTCTGTGGCAAGTTTTTCTTTAAGTCTTGGGTTGTTGATCGAAATTGATATAGCTTTTTCATGGTCGCGTGTTATACAAGAGGCTGACCTCTAAGTTTGGGAGTTGATGTCACATGGTTGAAGGCAAAACTTCTTTCTCAAACTTTGAACATCTGTATACTACTTTCACCTTTTTGCCTTCTCAAGTCTTGGTGACCGTATCCCAATAAATCAAACAGAAGGTCAGCATGATAAAATTGAGCGCAACCCAACATTTTTCTGATCTAGTTAACTTAATACCCAAGTCAGTCCAACCCATCAGCCTACTGTTATTCCGTGTGCTCATCCCTGTTGCGTCAACATCAGAGTTTGTGCAATCGAAGAATTTAGAATTCAATATTATCAACTCTTGCGTGCCTTTCTTGGTTATCAGCATGGAATGGTAACATAGCAACCATGTTGCATGCATGTAATAATGCCGTTCCGATCATAATTGGTATTGTATAGAAGAAAAAAAAACCTCTGTTTTTTCCTCATAAGTGGATAGTCGAAAATTTGTCGTTGATGTAAGGTAAAATTACTGTCATAATCCCATAACTTTTTTTTCTTGGGATACCATGCCATATTGGACGAGAGGGGACTCGAACCTAGAACCTAGAATGCTAGAGACGACTTGAAGTACGACCCCTTTATCAACCTCTCACTAATTAAGAGCAATATTACTTTCACAGCAGCGGGTAAAGGGAAGGTACTAAAAACCATGAAAATTCATAAAAATAAAAACCAAGAAATTTGTTGGGCCCCCAAATGGAACTCAGAGACAACCCCGTTATCCACAGCTTGAATGTAGAAAAGTGGGGGAGACTGCCCAGTGATCCTGTCTCAATCCAAAATCCCCTTCCAAGCGGAGTGAAAAACAAGCGGAAACTTCCTTTGGCTCTGTCTGTATTTTCGTACTTATGACCGCCACCAGCGAGTGTCACGTTTTATCTCTAACTTTCCTTTTATTTCTTTGCAATATTATCAACCCTTTCTAACTTCTACCGACTCTTTTTACTACTACTCCTAAATCCTTATCCATATTTTACTCTTACTCTATCTCTCTGTCTGAGCTGTTAATAAGTACAGATTTTTGTCCATTGCTGTAGCTTCCTACCTGTGAACCTTCCACCAGTGGCCTTGAGACTTACACATAAATTATGCTTTTGGGCTCCTTCTCCAGCGTGCGTTTATTGGATATTCTCAAGTTTCTGGATTTGTAGCACTAGAAATTTTCGCCTTTGTGGATCTGGGTTTGTACTGGTGTAGTAGGATGGGCAGCTCAGAAGAGAAGGTTGTTGCTGTGATCATGGTGGGTGGACCCACTAAAGGTATGAAGCTACTGTGATCTTTGGATCCAACAATGAGACCCTCTCTTCATTTCTTTGAATCTTGATGATAGTGCTGTGAATTCTTATTGCAAAGTCTAATACTTTGTGCAACAATAGCACCCAATTCCTACTTCTATAATTCTGAGAGCTTTACAATCATGAATGAGGAATTATGACATTTCTTTTACAGTCTTCCAATTTGATTCTTATGCTAAAGTTTCCTTCTTGCTTTGAGGACGCATTTCTTAATATATTAGAGTTTCAATCCCACAGGTACTAGATTTCGGCCACTGTCACTGAATATTCCAAAGCCGCTTTTCCCTTTAGCTGGACAGCCAATGGTTCATCATCCGATTTCTGCTTGTAAAAGGGTATATTCTTGTAGATAAAGTGTGTCATTTCTGGCTTCTCATTATGTAATACAAGTTAAAATCACTGTTTTGAATTACAGATTCCTAACCTCGGGCAGATTTTTCTCATTGGTTTCTATGACGAACGTGAATTCGCATTGTATGTATCCTCAATCTCCAATGAGCTTAAGGTCCCCGTTAGGTAAGCTCGTGCTTTCTTTTTCTAGTTTGTAGTTACTATTTAGATATTGGAATTTTGAACTGAATTTGATGTTTAATTTATTGATCATCATTCATTCTGTTGATGCGGCTCTTAGATATTTGAGGGAAGACAAGCCGCATGGTTCAGCTGGTGGACTTTATAACTTCAGAGATCTGATCATGGAAGACAGCCCGGTTATTGTCTTTTACCCACTATTTTCTATTTGGTTGATCTAGTTTTTTTCTTCCTTTTATTTTACTTTTCCAAAGTTCTCCTTTTGCTTTTCCTTCTCTAAAATGCTGTGTGAGTGGATGCTTGCTCTCTTAGTTACTTTGAGCCAATGCATACATGTGTGCTCATATGCGCATATTTGGATGTTATTTTTGACTTGATGGCAATTCATTGTAAAGTAAATGCTGATTTTGGTTGCATGCAGTCGCACATTTTCTTGTTGAATTGTGATGTTTGCTGCAGTTTTCCACTTCCAGAAATGCTTGGTAAGTGTTTCGTGAGTTGCTGTGATTGTCATTGGATATTTCCATGTTGCTTTTTTTAATATAAAAAAATTGTTGATTTATAATGGATTGCAGAAAGCTTAATCTCTGCCTTTTTAACATTTATATCTGCAGAGGCTCACAGAAAATTTGGTGGTATGGGAACGCTCCTTGTGATCAAGGTTGGTCAACACATGGACTAGTTGAATTTTGGCAGTGTAAAGTTCTCCATTACAAAACTTATCCTTGTCTAAATTTTCTTCTTTCTTTGTAAAGGTTTCTGCTGAATCGGCCAATCAGTTTGGGGAACTGGTAGCTGATCCCGTCACCAATGAACTGTTGCATTACACGGAGAAGCCTGAGACTTTTGTAAGTTTGAGATCAGAATTTCAACTTCTTTTTTAGAATTTCCTCTCACTTGTGGAGCCCCATTGGAGCATTTGGATTTCTTTCCAGGATGGCTTATTTTAATTCTCGTTTTATCTTCTTTTTTTTTTTTTTTTCCTGATACTGTTACTTTATTCAGGTCAGTGACCGGATAAATTGTGGTGTGTACATATTTACACCAGACATTTTTAATGCCATCGAGGGTGTTTCCACTCAGTGGAAGGACAGAGGTAGTGATACCTTCTCTGTGTGAATAGGCTGTCCTGTGTGTGCTTCTAGTATGCTTAAGCTGTGGTGATATGAAAGTTTTAACTTTTAACAAGAACTTGGTATCTGTTTTTCTTTCTTTTTCTTAGAGGGACTTATTATCTGTTTCAGCGTGCATCCCTAGTAAATCTTTTTACTCTTAGATTGCTGCCATTAAGATGTATCTTCACTTATTTGTAGAATTAGTATTCATCGTGCTAAAATCTGAACTCTTTTCTGTTATTTTCAGCTGATTTAAGACGTCTATCCAGCTTTGAATCCCTTCATTCAGCAACAAGGTTTGTGGCTATCCCTTGCTGATTGGGGGGATCTTGTTCAATAAAATGTTAAATCTTTTGTGCCTTCCAACATGTTGAATAGACAAGAATAGAAAAGAAATGCTGATACAAAGTTCCTTGAACAGGAATGCTCCCACACATTTTGTAAGGTTGGATCAAGACATCCTGTCACCTCTTGCGGGGAAGAAGCAGTTATACACATATGAAACCTTGGACTTCTGGGAACAGATCAAAACTCCTGGGTAAGATTTGCCTCTGAGGTGTTGTCTTTCTGTAACCTTGTCCCCGTAGATCTAGACCATAGTGTAAATATTTTGTGTTTATACTTGCAGAATGTCCTTGAAATGTTCTGGGTTATATCTTTCACAATTTCGATTCACCACCCCCCATCTCTTGGTGAGTGGGGATGGTACAAAGAGTGCCAGTATTATTGGTGATGTTTATGTTCATCCATCAGCAAAAATACATCCAAGTGCAAAGGTACATTTTCTCTCATTTTGGCTTTACTATGTGCAAATCTAATTGCAGTGATTTTTTCCACCGTTTTAGAAATTATATAACTAGGTTTTCATGTAAACAGTGATTAATACTTTTTGGGGTCATACAGATTGGTCCCAATGTCTCAATATCTGCAAATGCTCGTATAGGAGCTGGGGTGAGGCTCATAAGCTGTATCATCCTCGACAATGTCGAAATTAAGGTATATTACAAAAAGTAAAGATTATGGAATGCATCCCTCAAGGTCACCTTATGTTGACATATGTATAATGTTTTCTTTCAGGACAACGCAGTTGTTATTCATGCAATTGTTGGATGGAAATCGTCTATTGGGAGATGGTCTCGTGTCCAGGCAAGTTCAAAAAATTTCTACTTGGGAGGACGTGGTTAATAACAGAACTTCAATTTCTTTCTTATTTGAAGCCTTTCTTAAGTTTGCTACTATGATTTCAGGCTAGTGGGAATTACAATTCAAAGCTGGGGATCACGATCCTTGGTAAATTATCTTCCTTCTCATTCATTCCTCCTGTTCCGATCATAAAAATATTGATTCGAAGAACGCACTGTCTGACTCTGAATGCCACTTTTGTTAACAATCCAGGTGAAGCAGTGACGGTTGAAGATGAAGTGGTGGTTATTAACAGCGTTGTCCTCCCTCACAAGACTCTCAATGTCAGTGTTCAAGAAGAAATAATTCTTTGATAAAGCAGAGGGACCAAACCCACACCCAACAACATTACACTCTCTCTCTCTCTCTCTCACTCATCTTCATATGACTTTCATTGCTTATTTAGTGTCATCGCTGTGATTCCTATTGCTTTATTGTTCACTTGTAAATTAACTTCCTGCTAAATATATATATATGTGTGTTAATACTACGGCTTTGCTACTTTTCCTGTCAAGTGTGGGGAAATTTTCTTTTAATAGTTAAATTAATAAGCTAAATTAATATGTTCTTAGATTATTTTATTTCTTCTCTCTCTTTTTTTTTCTTCATATTCATTCCATTGTTAAATAGTTTTAAAAAAATATTAATAATTAAATACCCATTATAGTAGAGATTAGGATATCGCCTGGCTGGCGGGTAATTCCATTAACTTCATAGCAAATTTATAATAAAAACATTATATTTTTCATATTTGAATTTGTGCTTCTGTTCATGTATGGATATGGAACTATATGGTAAAAAGTGGATATGCCGACGACATAAGAGTTTGTTCATCGTAAGTTTATTGGACCATTTTGTATAACTTTGCATGATTCATGGTTGGCCTTTCAAAATGTAGAACACTAAGCAAGTTAGCAAATACCCAAACAGTAGCTAGGCAGGCACAACCCAAGCAAGCTTCAGAAATTTGCTAATATGATTTACTCAAAAGGATGAGCTCATGAGAACCTGTCATGTATAATTGGCCCAACTTCGAAATTCCAACCTGAATTTACACCATCCACCCTAAACATATGTGCTACAACATACATGAGCAGTCATGCACATCTCTAACCGGCCATCAATTCAAAAAGAAATTAACAAAAACAAAAAAATTGGTGAGACTGTCAAACTAAGACGGTTAAGTGTAGTAGTTCGAGGATTGCCATTCTAACATGGTGCACAGAGAATGCATCCAACAAGGGGCCATCTCCTCTTTGGCAGGTCAACAACGAGAGTTGAATTGAAGTGGTTTCCTTGAATCAATTGGAGCATGTCAAAACGGAGAAGCAGGCATGTCAAAATGGATAAGCATCAAGAAATTCGGATTGGATTCTTCCCAGCAACTTCAGAGTACCATGACTTCCATGCTTCCATATAATGAGAAAACAGATCCTTCAAAGCTGCAAGATATAGCAAAACATTTGATTTAGTAATTTTGAATCCAATTGGGGCTGGTTAATTTTAATTGGGATTTCTATTGCTATAACAGGTGGATTTCCTAAGGCTAGTTGGGTTGTCTTCTCGGCTCTATTTCCATGCGGAGTTTGGGTAGCATGTTAAAACCTAATAGAAGATAATTTTATATTGAATTGGTATTGCAAATTGAAATCTGGGTTCCTCCCTCTTGTTATATTCTTCCCTCACCTAGTCTCCTGTCCTGTTTCTTTCTCTTCCCACTTCTCTTCCCTTTCTCCCACTATTTTCTCCTGGTCCTACATCAAAAAGGTTTACCAAGGCTGATGATACTGATAGATCATTTAAGAGAAAAAATGGAGCTCTCAAGAGAAAAGGAGGGTCCATCATTCATCTGTAGATATAAAAACTAATAAAGTTCCTTATCCCCTTCTTTGGTTTCCTGATGTGAATTTAAACCTATAAAGAATTGATCGTTGACAGCTAAATCATAATTGATAAAAACAGCTATGTTTATAATTCAAATCTATACTGCATGATGAATCATGAGATGGTACCTTGGTTTTGATACTGAGGACGATAAGTAGAGGTCAACTTCTCCCAGTCATGAACCCTCCTCATGTTGCTGTTCCCGGGTCTGGCAATAGTGACAGGAGCAAAAGGACCAAACTGATAGCTCTTTGAACCATCTTTTGAGTCCTCCAAATCATGTTGCCTTTGTTTTTGCGCATCCAACTCCCCACCAATAGAAGATTCCAGCTTGCCCCTCTTAGAAATGACGTTTGTGATATCTGTACCAAAGGCTCTTTTTCTAGACTCGTTTGGAACCAAATTCTCCTCTTTTCCTCTCAATCCCAACCACTTAAATGCAGGTTTCCTTGTATCTGGTGTGTGGGTCTGCGTATTTTTCATGAGGAAAAAATAACTTTCAACTCAGTGCAAAAAACAAGTGTAGCTGTTAACTAATTTTGAATTCTAAAATTTCTCTAATTCTACAAGTTTCATTTCTTTTTTCTATCAAGGATTTAAAGAAGTGTTTTTACCTTCTCAATGAGATTCATGGAGGACAAAACATTTGCAATATCATAAATCCGCCTTACTTTAGCTGCTTCATCAAGTGGAGCAAAAATTATTAGTCATGAGTTCCGTCTCCATTTTATGTGATATATGACCAATAGCAAACAAAACAAGGATAAAAGTATTACTTCTCATCGCTGATGCACTCTGTGCATCCCCAAGCAATAACTTGGCAACATCATCAAGGGATATCATTTCTTCCTACAAATTCAAGCAGTCACATCAAAGATGGCCCAAAATTACATAGTAGACTAATCACAGTTTTATAGAATGAGCAAGTAACAATCTACTATTTTACTCACAGTGGAGCAGACAAAGAGCTTCACGAAATTCTGCGTAAGAAGCGCCAGAGATTTTTCCCTTCTATTATCTGCAAAGATTAACCAAGAAAACAGAGACAATCTTAGGACATCACCAAAAATATCATTCATAGTAACTGAATATCCCCTAACAATTAGCCCAGAGCTATAAAAACTGAAAAGATAAATCTATAGTTTACACGGTGAGATTGACTCAATAAATTGTATATGGAAATCCAAAATCCAAAGCACCTGACCAATCTTGAAAGTGCTGAACCAAAGTTTACCTGGTTTTTGGTCTGCTGGAGGTTGAGGATTGACAGTAGGGTTGGATTTGTCGTTCGGCTGACTCCCACATCTCTCTTCATCATCCTCATCATCTGAAACCTGTGAAAACAGGAAAGTAACAAAATCTTGAATTATTTGAACCGAAAATTAAATTTTAAAAATAAATAAATTCGAAAACCTTAAGAAAACCCCAAAACAATTACCTTTGCATCGTCGTTGCCAGAAAAGTTAATGCAATTCTCTCTCAGACCCTCTTCCTATCATACCAGAAAAAATTCAAGTAAGTACCCACAAAGATCCAGATGATTAAAATTAAAAATAAAAGAAAAAATTATACCAGATCTGAAGCGTAATAATAAATTGTGAGAAAGAAATACCCTGAGCTCTTGTAACGCGTTAGGGATTGCCCCAAATCCTTTCCAAGAATACTGGTTCTTTGCCTTCCGTGCAAGAACCTGAAAATCAAATTAACCAAATAAATAAACCGAAATTGGGGGAAATTAAATCAAACATGAAAACTACTCAGAAAGGAAAAAGATAAAAAAACTGACCCCAACGCTCTCCAAGACATTGACGATGTCATAGATCCGTCGCCTCTCAACACCTGCAAGTCGAGAACTCGTTAGATCCAAAGAAATGAACACAGAAACATGGGAACGAATCGGCGATTGGAGCAAGATGGAGACCTAATCGTGAAGCGGCGTCGTCGAGGCCAATGGATGTAACGCCGTCGCGATTGTACAAGCCGAGGAAGCTGTACGATTTAAAAAGGGAATAGTTAGAGAAAACAAATTCAAGAATCAAGAAATTTGGACAGAGAGAGAGAGAGATGAGTATGTGTACTTGGAGCACAAGAGGCCGAGAGATTTCTGCTTACGGCTATAGCCGTGTTTCCTGGTGGAAGGCCCAGACGAGGGGGCAGCAGGAGCCGCCATGGTAGAGAGAATATGGAGGGAAAGGGAAGGTGATGAAGACCAAAGACTGAAGAAGACTAGAGAAATAGAGGGAGGAGAGGGAGGGGGAGAGAGAGAGAAAGAGAAGACCGTTAAGAAAGAAGGGGGGAAAAGGGGGAGGGTTTTGAGTGAATGGCGGGGTTACAAATTTCAAAACTTAAACGAGCGTTGGGGGTTTTGGGATCTGAAGGCGGCAGCAGCAAGCGCGCAGCGGAGAGCGTACGTAGCTGCGGAAAAGATATTTATTTAAAGGGAGGAGGTGGATTTGGGGCCGGTTCTTTTCAAATATTTGAATGAGCGGGAAAATGGAATCTCACGCTTTCGGGTATGGAGCCAAATTAACCGGTTTTTGCCTCCCGTTTTATTTTTTAATTTTTTTCTTTTTTTCTTTCGTCAATCATGCATGCTGTTTCGGCTGCCTAAATTTTCCCATTTAATAAAATTACTCCAATTACCATACATGGCAATAAAATTACATTAAAAGGTAATTTTTAAAGCGCCTAAGATTTCCTTTGAAAAATAAATAAACAATTAGAAATTATGGTTGTAAATATGGACTCAACATGCCATGACATTGTTTTACTCCACAATCATGAACTAAGTTTAAGATTAGAGATAAATGAAGGGATGTGGGTAATTTGGGAATAACGAGGGATGTGGTTAGTATATTAACGTTCTTTGTGTGTGATATTTGATGGGAGTGAGAAAAAATAGTGAGTAGGTAGATTACATGGGAATGGCAACAACATTGTGAGAATGCTTATAATTATTTATGTTTAAAACGTTATTCAAGTTGTATTTCTCAACTATCTTTTTGTAAACTGTCATAAACGGAATTTGAACTTGGGATATCTTCCATCGATGGAGACGATATATACATGCTACTGGACTACAAGTTGGAATTCAAAAAATGCTTCAAGTTCTATACATTGCGCATTGTGTGTTCCTTCTAAATTCTTCTTAGGCTATCGCGTTTCAAGGTTTAGAATTTAGATTCTAATATGGATTAATGTTCATTGGACGCACTTTTATCCAACGAAAATTAATCAATATTTTGGGTGGTGCACATAACAAATAGTAATGAACAAACTCTTCATTAAACGGAGCGAAGAAACCAGCTTCTTCTGTTAATGCAAAGCTTCAACTTGACTAATGTAAGCAACTCCAAATTTGACAACAGTGGATATGTGCTGAAGTTAAAAGATTTCCTTTTACTTTATAGATTGTGGAACTGATACAAGCTGATACAAGCTATGTTATCAAACAAATCGCCGGCAATATGCTTCCAAAGCATGCGATGACAATGAGAAGGAAGAAACAATTGAACCTTGAAACTCACCAACGCCGTTGACAATCATGGCCAGATTTTCTTTCTCATCTTTTCTTGCTAAGTTAATGATCATCATGTTCTTAGCCTGTTGCTCAAGTTAAAGTCTCTCCCACACTCACTGCTTCATCTCCACTAGAATGATGAGATATGGTCATCAGATATATAACCCCCTTGAGCCAGACCCATTTTGTGAGTGCTCTGCTTGTAAAAGCAGTGAAAGCCTCAAGTTGGGTGGCACAGAAATCTCTCTTTCAATCGAACTGCACCAAATATGCCCAGCTGATCCTTGAAATTACCTTCAACCCCAAACAGCACAGAAGGAAGTTAGGAAGTTTTGCAGACAGGATCAAGTGTTCAAACTTGAGCAGGAATCGAAAACTCTTCTAAGCAGAATTCCTACATGATTTATAGTTTGACCTGGCGGGGAAGTCGGCCACATCTGCTCTGCAATCTCAAAATCTCTTTTGCAAAAGCTTGATTACCTGTTAACAAAAGCCCATCCAGAACGCGATTGAAGGTGAACCTACGGGGCAAAAATCCTCTATTAACCATCTCAATCAACAACTTCCCAGCCACTAACAGATCTTCAGGTTTCTTCCTCACAAACATGGCACTAATCAAAACGTTGTATGTATCCAAATTAGGCAAGCAAATTCCACCACCCATCTTCTCAAACACACTTAACCCTTTTTCAATCTCTCCAGCATCACAAAAGTAACGAATCACAACATTATATATCTGAACATTTGGTTCACACTCATCATCCTTCATTCTCTCCATATACTCCATCGCCCTTTCCATGTTACCCGCATGACACAATCCTCTAATCAACACACTATAAGTGGTCACATTAGGCACATAACCCTTGCTCATCATCTCCTCAAAAACCAAGACAGCATTTTCCACGCTATCTTTTTTGCACAAAACCTGAATCAAAGCATTGTAAGTTGCAACGGAAGGAAGCACCCCCTCCCCAACCATCTCATCAAAAACTTTTCGAGCTTTCTTAATCTCACCAACAACACCAAACCCATGAACCAAAGTCGTGTAAGTAACAACATCAATCTCACACTTCCTCTTCTTCATTTGCAAAAAGAACTCCCAAGCTTCCTTAATCTGGCCAGCTCTAAAATACCCTTTAAGCATTATGTTAAACGTGGTTAAACTCGGGTCCAATCCCCTCTCCACCATCTCCCCCAAAAGCTCCAAAGCCTTGGGGGTTCGCTTAATCAAACACCACCCATTTGCAATAATATTATAACTAATACAATCCGCCTTAAACTTGCCCCTAAACACCTTAAACAAATTATAAGCCTTTTCAACACGCTTAGCTTTGCAAAGCACATCAAGTATGGTATTAAAGGAATTCAAATCCTGAGGACAGCCATGTTCATGCATAGACAAGAACACCTTAACAGCTCTATCAGGTTTGCCAGCAGCAACATACCTCTCAGTGATGATAGCAAAAGTTCTCGGGCCCGGGCCGAGGCGGCGCGCCCGCATCCGGGAAACGAGGGTCCATAGGGCCTTATAGTCGCGCAGACGGCCAGCAATGTCGATGGCGTGGTCGAAGGAAGAGCAAGAGTGCGTGTAGCTGGGGTGGTGGTCAAGGACTTTAAAGAATTGGATGGCTTTAGGCCCATGGTTCCAGAGCCGTTTCAGGGTCTTGTCCACCAAATCTGCAGTCCACTCGATTTTAGGGTTGTGAAGAATCTGGCTTAGGGTTTGTGGATCGGATTGGAGGATGAGGTTGGCCAAGTAAGAGTCTTGAGGCGGCTGTGGGGTTGAGGTGGTGAGGCTGCGACATGGGATTGAAAAACTGGGTTTTGAGTTTTTCTGTGCCACAGTTTTGAGTTGCAGAGTGAACATTTTCTGGAGTTAGAGCCATTGGTGGTTAGTTACAACTTACAATAGTTACACTTTTCCCTCGTTATTTTCTCACCAACCAAACAAGTTTCGTGGGGTGAATTTAATTGGGCCGGGCTTTCTCCTTTCTTACCACAACAGCCCAACCCGTCGCTTGTAAAAACAAAAACAAAAAAAACCCACCAAAAAAGAAAAATCAATTTTGATTTGTGTTTTTGAAAAATCTGAAACTGAGCGCGGGGCCTTGCTCCTCAGTATACCACCGCCACTCCCGGCGCACGTTAGATGTCAACAGCAAACAGTTGCAGCATTGGCTTAGTGACTGAGAGAGCAAATCAATGAGTTCAAAAGAGAACTACAGAATCGAGCTTCGAACTGCGATTCGTCAGCTAAGCGACCGTTGTCTCTATGCAGCTTCCAAATGGTACCCACTAAACCCTAAAACCCCAAATTCCAATTCGAATTTCGGTTCTTTGCAGCTACTGATGCTTCCGTCGTTTTTGAACAATTTGCAGGGCAGCAGAGCAGCTTGTGGGTATTGAGCAAGACCCGGCAAAGTTTACACCTGCAAACACCAGATTCCAGCGCGGGAGCTCCAGCATTCGACGCAGGTTTCGCACTAATGAGATCACTTCAACGCCAGCTGCTGGAGTGTCGTACGTGTCAACTCCGGTGATGGAGGAAGACGACATCGTGGATGGTGATTTTTACCTTCTTGCTAAGTCGTATTTTGATTGCCGAGAGTACAGAAGAGCTGCTCATGCGCTTCGTGATCAAAATGGAAAGAAGTCAGTGTTCTTGCGCTGCTATGCTCTTTACCTGGTCTGTTAACATTCTCTTATATTTATCTCATTGCCCTTGTTTCTCTTTCACTCTTCGCAAATGAAAGTTTTGGTTTTTTTCTTTTCGTCTTTTGTAGATTATAGATTGATTTAGGTGAGATTTATGGGTGCCCATGTAATATTGATTTCATGAGCACATAAATTTTGTATCTTTAGAGGCGTCCAGTCATTATTACCTTAAAGGTTGTTTTTTGGTGGGTGCTGCAGTTGGCATGAACTAGTTTAAATAATGGCGATTCAGTGCTGGGTACAAGTTTGATTAGGATGTAGATCAGGTAACTGGGATCCAACACACAATAGATTGGCAATAGGGTATAGGAATCCGATTAGCAAATCTTTATCAGTTTAATAATACAAGAAAAGACAAGTAGAGGTTTCTCATTTGTTAGAAAATCATTGATTTTTATGAACCTACCTATTTCATTCCAGATGTTATAATTATATATTGTCTCGTTTTTATTGCGTAATGAAGGCTGGCGAAAAGCGGAAAGAGGAAGAAATGATAGAACTTGAGGGGCCCCTAGGTAAGAGTGATGTTGTGAATGGTGAACTGGTTTCTCTCGAGAGGGAGTTATCAACCCTTCGCAAGAATGGTACCATTGATCCTTTTGGACTCTACTTGTATGGTCTTGTGCTCAAAGACAAAGGCAGCAAGAGTCTTGCTCGTACAGTTCTTGTGGAGTCTGTTAACAATTACCCTTGGAACTGGAGTGCCTGGTCGGAGCTGCAGTCCTTGTGCACTACAGTTGACATTTTGACCACCCTTAATCTCAATAACCATTGGATGAAGGACTTCTTTCTTGCCAGTGCTTATCAAGAACTAAGGAAACACAATGAATCCTTAGCAAAATATGAATATCTCCAGGGTCATTTTGCTTTTAGTAATTACATTCAGGCTCAAATTGCAAAGGCCCAATACAGTTTGAGGGAATTTGAACAAGTTGAAGCAATTTTTGAAGACCTTCTGAGGAATGACCCTTACCGAGTGGAGGACATGGATATGTATTCCAATGTGCTATATGCAAAGGAATGTTTCTCTGCACTGAGTTATCTTGCTCATAGAGTATTTATCACTGATAAATACAGACCAGAATCTTGTTGCATTGTCGGCAATTACTACAGCTTAAAAGGGCAGCATGAGAAGTCAGTTGTGTACTTTAGGAGGGCACTCAAGTTGAACAGAAATTATTTATCTGCTTGGACCCTTATGGGTCATGAATATGTTGAAATGAAAAACACCCCAGCTGCTGTCGAGGCATATCGGCATGCTGTCGATATAAATCCATGTGATTATCGAGCTTGGTATGGATTAGGACAAGCTTATGAGATGATGAGTATGCCCTTTTATGCTCTTCATTACTTCAAGAAATCTGTATTCTTGCAGCAAAATGATTCTCGGTTGTGGATTGCCATGGCTAAGTGTTATGAAACTGACCAGCTCCACATGATTGAGGAAGCAATTAAGTGTTACCAAAGGGCAGTGAATTGTAATGACAGGGAAGCCATTGCCCTGCACCAGCTTGCAAAGCTACATTTTGAACTTGAACGTTCTGATGAGGCAGCTTATTACTACAAGAAGGATTTGGAGAGGATGGAAGCTGAAGACAGGGAAGGACCAAATATGGTTGAAACCCTTTTATTTCTTGCTCAATACTACAGAGACCAGAAAAGATTTGAAGAAGCAGAGGTCTACTGTACCCGTCTTCTGGATTATACTGGCCCAGTAAGTTGCAACTCCTCTTTCTCTGTACATGTTTGCCTAAATATAACATTGAAATTTAACGAAGTTTATGCCCCTCGAAAAAAAAGAAATTTAATTAATATGTACAAATGTTTCGAATCAACTATAAGGAACTCTTAAATAACTGTTATTTCTTTGTGCGTCGCTACAGGAAAAGGAAACAGCAAAAAGTTTACTTCGAGGAATGAGAATGGAACAATCTGGTGGTCCTTCGATGGATGTTGAGCACTTTCCTCCTTAATTTTAGTCATGATTACCAGATTTATTCCTTCTCTACCGGTTTTGACTCAACAAGCAATGACAATCTTGATGTGGGCAGATCACATTCGAGCATTTACTGCTATTTATAGTTGTTAATGAATTTGATTTCTGTAGAAAATTTCATTTCCCATGTGTTGTTTTAGTCTTCTAGTTTGCCTAGGTGCGATCAAACTAAGGCAGGCCTCTTGTTTGGCTCTCCTGTGTCCTCACGATTGGTAAGCTCAGTATTTGATTGATCCTGGGATGCTTTTATTAATACAATAGTGATGTTCGCTTAGGGTTTGAAACACAAGTAGTGCCTGTTCGTGTTTGATGGTTCTCTGACTAAATCAGACTTGGAAGCTGCATCCATGAGTCTCAAAACCCAACCACATCAAGCTGCCTGTTTGTGCTTGATGTGTTTCAGATAATAAAACTGGTGAAATTTGAAGTAAATTGTTTTACAAAGAACAAGGAATGCGAAAAATAATGTAATTCAATTCAACCAACGAATTAATAGGTAGATGACAGTTAATCATCATCGCATATGATACCAAATTTACGTTCATACTGTTCTGCACTCAATTTATTTCAATCGTAACCCTCATACAGCAGGGGCAAATTTAGCACAACCTCCAAACTCCAATGACTGAAAGCAATTAAAGAGTCTCCATCTCAGACATTTTCCTTTTCTTTTAATTGGTACTCAAAGCAGTTAATTCCGGCTTGGATCTGTGAAAAAACCATTGACAGACGGCATAATTTCTGGCGACTTGTTGCGGACAAATTTCCTCAGGAAATGCTCCTTGTACTTTTCTCCCTCGGCGAAATTCTCCAATATTCCAGCAGCCCTGTTCTCCTTGCTCACTCTGATTTAGAAAGAAACGAGAGATAGGCAGTATTATTTTAGGCCACAACATCCATGATAGTAGCAAAGAGAAGATGATTAAGCAACATTCACTCGTTTTTACACATCCATAATCACAGAGAGAGAGAATGAATCAGTAAAACCTATTTGTATGATAAAAGTCATGGTATTTACCATGTGTGCTCCTTAGACCATTATAATCTAACAGAATAAACTTCTTTCATTTTGTAGGAGGGAACCAACAGAGCAAGAAGAAAAAGTCTCACTAACATGGACCTCTAATCTGGACACTTACAACACTACACATGTGCATAAGCCAATCGAACCATATTTGAATGTGCCAAAGGTTGAAGATTTTAAGTGATTTTGACAACAATCAAATTTTGTTTATAAATACTTTCTAAATACATATACAGATTAGAGAGGGCATCAGTTCCCATCATTCAAAAGTCGGTTCATTTTGGTTTGAAATATTTACTTGGGCTCTCTACTGATTAAATTTGGACCACCCACTTTGGTTAAATTCAAGCAAACTCAGTAGTTTTTTTGTTCTTCGCACAAAAGTAACTGATTGGCATCAAAATAAACCCAAATATTTCCCAAGTACTTGGTTATGAAAATGAAAGGTTTTTCCTTTCCAGTCCTGAAAATATTCCTCTACTTTGATAAGTTTCCACACAAAAACCAATCCAATCAACATACAGTGAAACAATCAAAAAGTAAAATACAGCTTAGCAAAAATCTAACTCAAAGCAATAAGCTTTGTAGTCCACATATATGTCTAGAGAGAGAGAGAGAGAATGGGAGAGAGAGAGAGAGAGAGAGAGAGAGATACCTGACTTCCGGGTTGATTGTGATATGGCGGAACAAGCTAAGCCCGCAAATCCCTACGGCAACCCCTGTGGCCGCGAACAGTGGATAAACCTACACGTATAAATACGACATACATCAGATTTACAGCCTAACCTAACAAACAAAATCAAAGCCGATCTGGCGCCAAATGAAAGGGAAATTCAAGGGTACGGGCAGATCTGAGCCTACCTCAGGCCTCAACCAACGATTCGGAGCCATTGATTGCGCGTACGGTACGGGGATTTTCTGATAAAAATGTTGCGAGGGCTTGGAACTGCAAAACAGGGACGAAGAAGCAAAGACGACCTGAACCACCAGTTTTATATTTTTATTTTTTCCAATTTTTTAATTGTAAGTGGTCCAATTTGATTGGCTGTCTCGGGCTTTGCGTGCGTCATTCGCAGTCTTAGTTCAGCAAATCAGAACGCGACACGTGGTTTAGTTGAGTTTCCCGGGAAAAAAAAAGATAAACTGCGGGCGCCGTTGCCGGGGATCGAACCCGGGTCACCCGCGTGACAGGCGGGAATACTTACCACTATACTACAACGACTTGATGTTCATTTTGCATTTTTATATCATCTTAAATCCTCACAAATATATCTTAACGGTTAAAAAGTGAAACAGGGCAGAACAAATCAGGCTTCAGTTGGGTTAAATTAGTTAATTACATTGCCACCAGAATTTGTTTGTCGCTTGGATAGTTTGATTTGCATGCACTCTTCTTAGATGCATGCATAAAATATTCACAGACTAAGTCCGAATTATGAAAATATTTATTGACCTAAGCCAAATTGCTAATAGCAATGAGAATTCAAATCTTCAACCTAACACACATCAGTTACCTCACAATGAAAATCTAGTAAACGAATGTGTTAAAATAATATACTCGTATACAATGACATTGTTTTCCTTGGCCAAAATACAAGGCCATATGTATCTAAGACCAGAAAATTCAAATGATATTAATGAGAAACACAACTTTCTGCCAAGGAGCATGAACTTTTGGAATCTCTGTGCCGCTTTTGAGTTTTGAGCACAAGAAGCATAATTGATAGGGCATTGGCTATTCTTGGGCATGCGCAGTTTCATCGGAGTGGAAGCTTCTTCATGCTAATTTCAATGCATCTCCTCCATTATCACTTCCTCCCCCGCGTAAGTTCGCATGAAAACCGAAATCATAGTATCAGAATGTTAAATGAATCCATGTCCATCCATTTGATCAGCGTATCTGACCCCAACCATCAACTTGCTTATGACTAAAATCAGGTCATGGTGATATCTACATCCAAAATATGCACTGGAAAAGAAAAGACCTAGCCGAAGCCATCCATGTCAATTCCTTTTGTCACGTATACGGTCACGCCATGAGCCTTGTTTTTTCGCAAGTACCTACAAAAAATGGCAGCATATTAATTTCAACTTTTATCTGAGTCTTGAAAGAACCCCACCCCTACGAAACAATATTTCCCTCTTTTTGCTTAGCAAGAAACAGTATTCAACTTACCTTATCACTCAATAAGCTTGTAGGTTCACTTTCTTTGCTGTCCTTTATATCGTTCTCTGCCTCAACCTCACTATCTATCATAATGGATGGTGGATTATCTGATGAACCAAACATAGCCTCATCATGAGCAGTTTTGATCTTCTCCTCCCTTTTGTTCTACATAGTGGTATTCAAATGAGTAACTTCAGAAACTATGGAACTATCATCTCTCTGAAAACAAGATTTCAAGACGCAATCTGGAAGTCAATTGAGTAACTGACAGCAATTGAGTAGAGAGTCATACCTCAATCGCAGAAAACCGAAAGCTTCTCCCAATGTGCTTAACTAATGCTGCATCATCTTCAGCAACTACAAAGAAGGCGAACATGGACAATCAGCTCAATTAGATCAAATCAAACAGGGTTCACAACATGCAAGCTACCTAGATCAGTATGGTAATTGATTGATCCAATGCTCTGCTAATTGACCACTGAATTATATTTCTGATCTTGGATATTTATATGCCACACATATTGTAAGGCTATGGAGCAATCAGAGTGCAAGCTTGAAACAATAATCTCTAGTTACAAGTATGGCCAGGCAATAAGATGCAGTGGCCATTAGTATTGTCTGAGAGCTCCAAAACTTTGCACGACATGTAATATATCAAGAAGAGAGGCATGAAAGGCACACACAGATGCCCGAACAATGTTTATCTGATTCTCAGATTATGGACATCTATAGAATGGAAAGTAACATTCTCCATCGGCAAATATAACCAGGGTTTCTCCCTAAATGGTGAGCATAAAGATGATTAACCAACCTACTGAAAAAGTTGTGGAAAGCCACAAATATCTTATAATGGCCGCAATCTTTAACTTTTAACTTAAAAAATGACCACAATGTCAGAGAGACCTACGCTACAAAGGACAGAACTTCAAGCAGAAATAATGCCAAGAACAAAATTCAATCTTTACTTTCTAAAACAAAGTGTGGTCATAAACGTTTAACCTTCAACTTCCTCATCATCAAGTGGTGCATCTTTGTTGAATTCAAATCTTTCCCAACCAGAGCCCATGCCCTTCGTCGTATCCTTCTCAGCTGCAGTCAAAATAACAAGATGGTTATTTTGCACAAGTCCAAGTAAACCCAAATACTAGAGGCTGGTTCTTAAAGACCACAACTCACCAGTTTCAGCAAGTTGAAATTTCATCTTCGCTTTGACTCTCTCGGCTGCTGACTGTTGTTCATAACATAAGAAGAGCTTGTTATCATACTTGACAATGAACAATGACTAATTCTACCACTTAACTTAATAATTCAATGTCTCATGTAATCTAAAATTGATAAAGGCCTGAGCTTGGCTCCAGCCATTGATTGAAAATAAGTAAAAAATACAATTACCAATCTAAACATACCATTTTATCATAGCCTTGAATCAACTTCGAATAATCAGCAGCACCATTTCTCTCCTTCCCCATTTTACCCTTGCTCTTCTCCAAACCCCTCTCTCTCGGCGACGAGCTCCGACTCCTTCGCTCCTTTCTCCGATCCCGAGGTGACCGACTTCGACTCCGGCTCCTCCCTCTTCGTCTTCTACCTCCATCCAAATCGCTCCCAGACCTACTTCTCCTCCTCCTTCTCTCTCTATCTCTATCCCTATCCCTATCCCTATCTCTATCTCTATGTCTCTCTCTGCTCCTACTTCGCCGCCTCGAATGCCTTTCTCTGCTCCTAATCCTGCTCCTGCTTCGCTTCCTCGAATGCTTACTTTCTCTATGCGAAACCCTAGGTGGTTGTTTCTCTTCTTCTTCGGCCAGGTCGGGCTTCTTCCTCTTGAGCTTGTTCTGTATGTACTCGATTTGGGCTTGCTTTTGGAGCTCCGACTCCTTTTTGGGGCTAGAGGCCTTGACGAACTTGTTGAGGAAGGAAGACGACGAATAAGGCAGCGCTGAACCGCGCGCAGGGGGGTTTTCGGAATCTGTGCTTGCAGAAGAGAAGCCCAGGCCTTGCTTGAATCTGGCAGCTCCTTCGCCGCGCCGAGTCAACTCCTCGTAGTACGCCGCGGCTTTTGCCTCCTCCATTTTCGAGCTCGACGGTCAGCAACGGTTGCTGGTTTGAAGTGACGGCTTTGGGGCCCTGGTTCTTTTGCGCGCCGGATCGGGACCTGGTTCTTTCGCTGTGTTGCAATGAATCGGCGTCGTTTTGATAACTGGTCCTTTGGATCTTTTAATGGTCCATTGGGCCCGTATGGAACATCTGGAGCCCAACTCTAGATCGCTTAGTTTGGGCTCACTATTATTTAGTGCACCTTATCCATATTGTTATGTGTAATAACTAATTCCAAACCACAACCCAAATTTTAGTTTTCAACCTAAAAATTAGAAGTCTAAGTCTTTTAAAAAAAAATATTATATTTAAACAATAGTGTTGCTCCATAATTAAGAGTAGTTAGCCATGTATCCGAGGTTTTGTGTTCGAATCCCCTATCTTTATGTGGTTTAAGACTCTTGACCAAAATAGTGTATTCGGCCCGTTACCAAAATAGTGCTTTCTATGCTGCATCATTTTTAAAAGTAGGTCAAAGTCCAAAGGCGAACAAAGTGTCTGGCAACGAAACGACGAGGCTTTAGTGTTGGGTGCAACAGATGATACAGTTTGAAAGTAGAAATAAAAACTGAGAATGGAACAGTGTTGTGCAGTGATTTCACTTCACAGCTGGGACCAACACAAAGGGCAGCTAGCTAAGCTAACCAGAATATTTTGAGGCAATGCAATAATGATGCTGGCTTGGCTTGAGCCTTGAGGCTCTGTGGTGGAAATCCAAAGTTGATCAGCTGGAAGAAGAAGATCAATCAAAGCTCAAATTCCAAAGGCCACCGAAGTGGCTGGCAAATCACAACATTTTATTTTATTTATACAAACAGAAACAGAGTGTTTGTTTTGTCTTGTTTATTAAGATCTGACTGTTCACGCAAATGGAGGTGGTGCTGCTGCTCAGATATCATGGACAGGTATAATCAATCAATCACTCACACACACTCCCCTGTTTAGCATTTTTTTAGTGGACCCCACTTTGATCTCTGGCTAGATATCCCCGTCCGTACAAAGTAAAATATATTTTGGGGGAAGTGACCTTCTCTTCTCCTCTTCTTCAATGACTCACAACAGGTCGCAGCAAACCCCAAAGCTTTTGGCTTTCCCAATTTTGACGCCGCCGGTGTGGGGTTATCGATTTCTTCAATTTCCAACAAAACCCAAATCAAAGAAAATATAAATATAAACAAAGTTCATGTCTTTTTTATCCATCAGTGTTATTTAACATTTGACTCAATTCTGTTGACCCGTGGTCAAATTGGAAAAGAAAGGTGGTAGGATCACAGGCCTGATTGTATGTCTCAGATTAGCAGACTGAAATTGAAGGAACATGATGAAGAGGATGAAATTGAATTGATCCATTTTTGACTTTACAAGGTCATATCAGAGCCATATATAATGATGTGGGCTACATTAAACCTTTCTTCTTTGTCTTTTCACTTTATTTGAGAATAAGGATCTTATGTGGGATTTGGGTTTTGGGATTTTCCCTTTTTGGAGTGAATTAATTTATAATTCTAATGAATTCGTTGTAGTATTTAACCCTATTTCCTAGATCCTAGGTTCGACTTCTCCCTCAACCAATATTGTCGGTATAAAAATAATAATATTCATCCATTACCTGTATTCTATTTACTGACTGCTATTGGTTATTATGCCACTTCTCTTCTGAGGTCAGACCAGACCAGGCATTCTTAGGCTCCACCAATATTTTACACCAAACATTGAACCAAAAGCAAAAATATTATATACCAAAAGACCGTCCTCTAAATTATCAAAGAACCACATAGTGCAGCATTAGTGGTAAAAGCTTAATCTTTCAGGAATTGAAAAAGCAGAAGGCTTTAAAAATAAAAATAAAAATGAATACATTCAATAGGATCCTTCTCGAAAAACCCAGAGGCTTAATCCAATATTTTAATGGATGACTGTCTTGATTAGTGGCAAATTTAGCAAGAGTTGCAAAGGCAATATCTCCTTTCACAAGTTTAATACTCTCTCTTAATTAAATGCTCAGATATAGGAGATCATGGTTAGATTAGATGATCCAATAATATCAGTCGGTATGTGTAGCTAACCTATACCAGTAAATGCCTTGCAAAGGCAATTCTTAGATGATCCAAGATTTTGAGTGGATATGATTATGACATGACCATGCTCTAAAATCAATGAAAGCCTTGCATCTCCAACTAAAGTATCTAAAATGATAGCTGTAAATTTCAACAATTCTCCAAAATATATCATTCATTATTACAAAATAAATGTGTCATAATCAAAGACTAATATTATCGTTTTTTGGATCTAGAATATTTCGGAAAATATCTATATATATATTGTATAATTATCGATAATAGTGGGAAATATCAATGTCGACATGCTTCAACAACATTTGGCCAAAATATCGTTATAATATCAAGATGATGAAAACAATAAAAAATATCGCTTTAAGATTGTGTTCATTTTTATTTCTGATACCGCGAGTCCAAATTGTAAAACTAAAACAAAGTATATCTTTAGCATAGTTAAACCATAATTCATTACGATAGAGGAGGGAGGTCGAACATATATCCTACCTTTCTATCATGAGCTTTTTTTTTCATGGACTATCTCACATACTTATATCAACCAATATATGGCTTACAACTCATACAAAAATGTTTGAACAAAATTGTTATTTTTTACTTAAAAACATTTGCAAGACTGAATAAGAAAGTTCGATGGAAGATATGGCTTGAAGATTTTCCCATGGACCAAGTTGGCTTTGAATTTCCAATGTTGACAACAAAACAAGGATTCAAAGTCAAATTCCTTCAATGATAGTAAAAAACTAAACTACTTGTTGTCTGTCTAGAATAGATAAACATAGGTTTGGAAATTGAATGAGAAAAAGATGCACCATGGGATTCAGCACACTGAAATGCTACTGAAACAGAGCAAATATAATTAATCAAACATTGAGAAAACAAAATCACAATAAAATTTACAATACAAATAAATAAGGTTTTTTATTTTTTTATTATTTTGACAGTGACCATTTTGACAAGTAAACACCAATAAATAAGAGGATTGACAGGACAACGGACAAGTGGGGGTGGGGGAGGTATAATCCTCTCTGCTAGATTTGCAAAGAGAAAACAAAATCTCACAGATATATTGGATCCTCAGAATCTCAGCTTTAGCCTTTTGCCTATTTAAAGCAAAAACCCACCCACCTCTCTCTATTTCCCCTTTCGTACGCCTCTCCTCTATAAACACGCTTCAACGCCTTACTCACACAACCAAAAGCTGCTTCTTCAAAAATACTCTGCTTCTCTCTGTTTTTTTTATTGTTTCCACGAGGACCCATTTCAGCTGACGCGCTAAATACCCCTCTAGGCTCCTCTTCAAGCTCTGCAAGGCTCAATGGCGATGGCCAGTGAGGTGTTCAGGCCTAATTTGCCCGAAAGTTTTGAGCTTTCTGCTGATTCTCAGATGGGTTCTGGGGAGCTGCATGTTCTTGCCGTGGATGATAGCCACGTCGACCGGAAGGTCATTGAGAGGTTGCTAAAGATATCATCTTGCAAAGGTATGTGGATGGCTCTGGTTGGTTTTTTGATCATTTTTCTTTTTCTCGTTTTGGGAAATGACGTTTTTGATTGCTTGGTGACTGAAGCATGTTGCAAATTTGTTCTGTTCTGCAGTGACGGCTGTTGACAGTGGGACAAGAGCTCTGCAGTATCTAGGATTGGATGGGGAGAAGAGTTCTGTCGGATTTGATGTAAGAAAACTTGCGCCTTGAAAATCTGTTTGGTTTCTGAGAAAAGGAGGGAAATAAAAAAAGAAAGATACTTTTCATTCATTTGTTGTTTGCTATAAGCCTATATGCAAATGCAAGTTCTTTTTAATAGAAAAAAAGAAAACATTTTCTCACCTACCAAACGGAAAATGAAACGTCTTTTTCGTTTTATGGTGGTTTTCTGACGTTTGAGTATTTTTGTGGTTACAGGCTATGAAGGTGAATCTTATAATAACAGACTACTCAATGCCTGGGATGACCGGATATGAGTTGCTAAAGAAGATCAAGGTTAGCCCTTTAATTTTTATTTGAAATAATCAATCAAGGCGCAGAATAACTGATAATCCATAATTAAATTCAAAGTTTATCGTGGCAATTACTCAGAGATTTATTGTGTAATTTTCATTTGAACAGGAATCTTCAGCTTTTAGAGAAGTTCCGGTGGTGATCATGTCATCAGAAAACATCCTGACCCGAATTGATAGGTATGTTCTTGGACCAAGGATTTCTCTCTATTTTATACTTTGCTGGAACTTGATTTGCTTTTCTAATTGTAAGCCCGATATATTATAATTGTTTTGTTTTTGAACATTAATGAATTTTGATCCATATTTCATTTTTTGCCCCATTGGAATTAGGAATTTTGTGGTCTATTTCAAACATAGCAACATCTGATTAGTTTGCCAGATCTTTTGTTTAACTTTTCGAGAAATAATTTGGCCATACTATATTCTTATGATCTGCAGAATTGATCTTTCTCTTAAAAGTACCAATTTTTTTTAATAGGAGGTGATTGGTGTTTTGCCTCAAATTGTTGAATGATACGTAGACATCACACGAGATTGCCATAAAATATTGTGATGTCATTTTACTCATGAATCTTTTGGGGATCACTCAAATCTTATAAAATAAGAGTCCTCACATGGCTTGTTCAATTATATTGAATAACAGTAGTTATTATTATTATTTCTGACTATGAATATCAAATTCTAGGTGAATGTTTTTCTTTAATTGTTTTATATTTTCCAGGAATTAATCATCTATTTTTCAGCATGGGTGCTGGATTTTTTTAAATGCTCATGTATGGCCAACTTCAAATGCCGCCCCTTCATGAGCCTAATGGGCAAAATTTGCCATGTTCAGATTTCATGGGCATAATATTATATTCTAGAAGATAGTATCTTCAAATTATTGCCTTGCCCTGCCTAACGTTTACCATATAAAATGCATATTGAATTCAACAATTATTGTTTACCGTATTTATTGGCGTACTTTTGAATTTTTTAATTTGTTTTGGGTGCTGATTGCCTGTTATATATTAAATTATTCTCCATATGAAGCTCTTTGACGGATGATTCTTTTACCACTGGTTTCTACAGATGTTTGGAGGAAGGAGCTGAGGAGTATATATTGAAGCCAGTAAAGCTCTCAGATGTGAACCGCTTGAAACATTTCATGATGGGAGGAGGAGAAAGAAGAGAAAGTGAAGAGAAGAAGATTCACAAGAGAACATTTCAAGTTGACTACAATGCATCATCACCTCCCTCTCCTTTACCGCAACTGTCTCCTTCGTTTGCTTGCAGTCTAGCATCATCTCAGCTACCGTCTTCGTCGCCATCATCGCCCTCGTCACGGTGTTCGTCAAAGAGACCTAGACTGCACAAGACAGATTGATATTGTCTGCCATTATTAGGATTTTTAACTTCACGTTCATACAGAGTGTCCCCATTTGGCAGTATAGAGAATTTCCTGTTTTGCCACGTATGTTTTCTTCCACAACCTTGTGTAAATTTGCCAGCATATAACTTTCACCCTGCCCAGAAAAGAGAAAGGGGAAAAGGTTAGACAGAGACATATAAGCAAGACTTGGGGTTAAAAGGTTCTTTCCTTCCTACTTTTTGTGGATGTTGGAGATGGAAAATCTCAACACAATCAATGGAAATCCCAAAATATTTTGAGGGGAATATTTTGTTGTCTACTCATCTTTATTTTCAACCATTCAATATCTGGTTGTCTGTCATTTTTCACCCTTTTGAGTTGGAATCATTTCACGTGCTTTGCTTCTAAATTCTACTTTGGTGCCAAAACTTTTGTCATGGGCCATCATGGATACACCAACTTTTGAAGATTTTAGCTAAACTTGTTAGTATACGATCTCAAAGCTCACCAGTCGGTCTGTGTGATTTTTGCTTTAAAGACCAGCAACGAGATGTAGACCCTTAAAATCATTAGCCTCACTAGTTTTATAGGGCCCCATTAAGATTCATCACATCTTGGTTTTTCGTTTCATGGACCACACAGGATCGCAACCCCACATCTGATCAAATGCTTCAGTTCAGGCCCCAGTAAATCATAATTGTTGGTTTTATTTTGTGTAACTCTTTTTTAGTAGAAACGATAGTTTAAACTACAAGGGATTACGAGGGATTGACTAGACTTCGTTCCCGGTTTTGTGTAACTTAACCATTCTTATATACTTGTTTTTGGGTGCAGGCACTGGTTCTGTTTCTTGTTCTTCTTCCATTTGTGCTCAGCTGAACAGCTCTTTGATCTGCTGAAGCCATTTGGCAGCTTGCGGGCAAGTCCTCAAATGGTGGGTCATGTATGAGACTTTGGAATGTTGGTTAATTATCAGAGTCTTTAACTTTGTTAATAACGATTAGCACATTGTAATATCGTTTTTAATTATAAATTAACAACCAAACAATGCTAATGATATAATATACTTACTCATTTGTTAATTCATCAAATAAGAAAGATCACTTATTTATGATGTCAACAAACTCTAATTCAACGGCTGCAAAGCAATTAGAACTTTCGAAATTAAAATCATTAATTAATGTCGATGCATGGAAATGATATACAATACTGGAAATGAAGGACGGCAAACATAAATCTCACACCCACCATCTGCCATTGCTCTATGCATTATCTCAAAATGACAGAAAAACCTACAAGGCTACAATACAGTCTCTTCTTCCATGCAACTTGTAGTTGCACTTCCCCAACAGGGTCTATGTAGTAATTTTCATAAAACAAAACCAACCAAGCAAACAACTACCTTCATTGAAACTGTCAACAACCAAACACCAAAACACAGGAATTGAAGTTACTCAGCATTCAAAGAACACAACACATTAACAAATAAACCCTGTGTTTGGTTCTTTTGGAAGCCTTTTCTTCCAAGCGCTTGTCATCTTACTGTTTTTCTGAGAAGTTCCTTTCCAGATAATTCTCTCGTCTCTCAGGTGCCAAATCCAGCAATGCCACAATCTAATGGAACAGTACTTGCTGAGACTATTACAGCAACAGCTGCAGCCACTCTTGTTATTGCTGGAATCTTGTTCTTCCTATACCGATTTCTTGCTGCTCACCGCCTCCTAAAAGGTAAGACCAATGGAAGTTTTCGACGAGAAGAAGTTGTGATGTATCGAGAAGAATTTAGGCAATGTGGTGCGAATGTGAAAGGGTTGATTGTTGATGAGAATGGGGTTGATGTTATATACTTTCGAAAATTAGAAGACGGACAGCTTCAAACAAATCTTCCAAGAGTAATGTTTAATCCCAGTTATGAAGATGAAGACGAAGAAAAAAGAGTGGATACTAAAGGAGAGAGGCCTGAATTGTCTAAGTCATCTGATTTGACCAATCCTGATAAATTGGCAAAACCATATTCTCTACAACCTCCCAGACCTCTACTTAGAACAACTTCAGCATTGATATTGGAGAAGCAAGCTCCACAATCACTGCCTCCTCCACCACCCCAACCAGCAATAGATAAATCTCCACCATCACCACCACCACCACCACCTCCTCCTCCTACTCCACTACGGATGCCACCACCGCCTATTCTGGCAAAAAGGAATCCTTTACCACCTGCTCCACCTCCTAAGGCAGGTGGTTTGGGTTTATCACTAAAACCTCCACCTGCACCTAAAGGCAAACCAAGCAATAATAGCAGGGCAGATGCTTCCACAGGGGAGAGCTCAAAAACAACTGGTGTTGGGCAAACAAAGCTGAAGCCTTTGCACTGGGACAAGGTTATGGCTGCTGTTGATCATTCAATGGTCTGGGATAAAATCAATGATGGATCATTCAGGTAAACAAGTCACAATACTATTACATCATATGGTTTCTTCTATCTTTGTAGTCTTTTCTTATTTGATGTCATGACTCATGATCATATCCTAACTAGATTTTATTCGCTTAAATTCTCAGATTTGATGATGAGCTTATGGAAAATTTGTTTGGATATACCACCATTAAAAACCAGTCCTCTGAAAGAAATAACCACTTGACAGCTTCAAACAAGTCTAACTCTGCCCCAACATCTCAAGTTTTCATCCTAGAGCCCCGAAAGTCCCAGAATACCGCAATCGTGCTAAGATCTCTTGCAATCTCTCGCCAAGAAATCGTAAATGCCCTCCTTGATGGGCAAGGACTTGGTTCTGATACACTAGAAAAACTTACAAAAATTTCCCCAACCCAAGAAGAAGAAGCTAAGATCCTCCAATTTAATGGTAACCCAAGTAAACTTGCAGTTGCTGAATCTTTCCTCTACCACATTTTGAAAGCTGTTCCTTCAGCATTCACTCGTTTCAATGCAATGCTTTTCAGAGCAAACTATGACCCTGAAGTCCTTCACCTCAAGAAGTCTTTGCAAACACTTGAAATGGGGTGCAAGGAGCTAAGAGCTCGCATGCTCTTCCTAAAACTTCTTGAAGCGATTCTCAAAGCTGGCAATAGAATGAATGCTGGAACAGCCAGAGGCAATGCACAAGGGTTCAACCTCAGTGCTCTTCTGAAGCTATCTGATGTCAAAAGCACTGATGGAAAGACTACACTACTCCACTTTGTGGTTGAACAAGTAGCACAATCAGAGGGCAGAAGCTGTGTGATCAATCAGAACCGCAGCATTGGTCAAAACACTAGCCAAATTATTTCACCGAATTCGGATAATGTAACGGCTGAAGAGAGAAGAAAAGAGTACCTAATACAAGGGTTGTCATTGTTAGAAGGGTTGAGTATTGAATTATCTAATGTAAAGAAAGCAGCTACCATAGAATATGAGAGCTTCATCCATATGAGCTCTACTCTAAGTAACCGCGTAGCTGAAATTAAGAAACTTTTGACACAGAGTGGCAATGCTGAGAGAGGTGGATTTGCAAGAGAAATGAAAGGGTTCTTAGAAGAATGTGAAGAGGAGCTTAAGGTGGTGAGAGAAGAGCAAGCAAGGGTCATGGAGCTTGTGAAGAGAACAACAGAATATTACCAAGCAGGAGCTTTGAAAGACAAAGGAGCACCACCACTTCAACTGTTTGTTATTGTGAAGGATTTTCTAGACATGGTTGCTCTTGTTTGTGCAGAAATTTCAAGAAAGCTACAGAAGAAGAAGAGTTATGAAGTGACTATAGGATCCTCATCGCCTCCTCTATCACCTCCTCTATCACCTTCAACCATAACATCAAACAAGTTACAAAACTTCCACTCACATTTCATTTCAGATATATCATCAATATCTTCCAGTGAATCAGAAGATGGTTTCTGAAGCTGATGTAACAAAACATTTTTCTAAAGACTATTTATATTCTTTGAGTTCTTTTCCTACATTTTCTCAGCAACCCAATTGAAAAAAAATACCACAGATTCCAACTCCCCATTTATCTGGATAACTTGCAATGTTTGGTAATGGGTCAAGCTGGGTTTTTTTCCAAGTCACCCACCTACAATAAAAAAGTGGTTTTTTTCTTTTTGGAAGAACTTGACCTAATTATGGGAAAACATACAATTTGTTTTACAATTAAGGACAAACTGAACCGTAGTTGGGCAAAAAGCAAGACGCTACTGTCGCACTGAGCTTACACCGTATAGCCGAGCGGCTATACTATTTAATATTCAAATATATTTAAAGCGTACGGCCGGGCGGCTATACTATTTAATATTCGAATATATTGGAATAGTATAGCCGGCTATACTATTTATACTATTTAATGTTCAAATATATTTTAACAGTACTACTGAACGGCTATACTATTTATACTATTTAATGTTCAAATATATTTTAACAGTACTACTGAACGGCTATACTATTTAATATTCCAATATATTGAAATCGTATAGCCGAGCGGCTATACTATTTAATATTCGAATACATTTAAAACGTATAGCCGTGCGGCTATACGATTTCAATATATTCAAATTTATTGAAACGGTAAAGCCGCGCGGCTATACGATTCAGTATTCAAATATATCTACAAAGTATAGCAGCGCGGCTATACGATTTAATATTCAAATATATTTAAAACATATAGCCGCCCAGCTGTATGCTTTAAATATTAGTATATTTAAACACTAATAATACACATCCATTAATGTATTTATATCATATGCTAGGTAGGGATGCGAATATGATGATAAATAATAACACAAGACATGATTTTATAACAAAAAAGTAGAATACCAGTTTTATCAGAGTTGTTCATTTCGGAGTATAGAGGTTTTGTGTTTGATTCTCATAGCTCCCTCCAAGTATGTATTTATTTTTAGTTTTTGAATAGCAACATTAACACGTGGGTTTCAAGCAGATCGCAGTTTTTTTTACCAAATGCATATTGACAATTGGATCTCATGCAGAAGGAGCATGAAAGTAGCTGACCCACCATCTTAAATCTTCCTTTGAAGCAAGCCAAAAAGCAGAACCAGAACAAGAATTCAGAAAAATGGCTTGTGAAAGTCTTGGAGGGATGTTGAATATTAGTGAGGAGCTTATCAAAACAAGTTGCTGTCTGTCCTTGAAGGTTCAGAACTTCCCAGATAAGCTGTTTCATGCTGAGAAGTCCCCTGCCTCCTCATCCCATGCTTTTTTCAGCTTTCCAGGATCTTGGTCTGTGGATGGTTGGTATTCTGGAGATAAAGCTTTTGGAGAAAAAGAGATCAATCTCCAACTCTTTCCTTCTATGAAAAGTATAGGCAATTATGATGAAGCTGAAGAGCCTTGAGCCCGAGAGTTTGCAATTGCATTTGTAAACCAAGCCTTTCTGCACAACTTCGAACATATATTGCAGAGTTCCCAGCTTGAAAATCAGTTGTGTTTATTCTTTCTGTGTTACAAACCACAATTAGCAATTTTAACCCCAAACATTCATACAGCAATTACTTTTCATTGAAAATTATGATTGTAAGCCACAATATCACCCAAAAAAAGAGGAGGCATATATAAAATCCCATATCGAAGGAGAAGTTTCTCTATAAATAAAATCGAGGCGCTTTTGTGATAAAATCTCACACATGCTGAGCTTTATAGGTGACTAAGTTTGGGAGTGAGGAAGTGTTG